GTGGCATTTTTCACAAAAACAGAACAAACAATCCTAAAATTTGTACCCTGAATAGCCAAAGCAGTCTTGAGAAAGAAGAAAAAAGCTGGAGACATCACGTTCCCTGATTTTAAACCATATTACAAAGCTATAGTAATCCAAACAGTATGGTACTGGCATAAAAACAGATACATACATCAGTGGAACAGAATAGACAGCCCAGAAATAACCCCATGCGTATGCGGTCAATTTATGACACAGGAGGCAAGAATATACAATGGGGAAAGGACAGTCTCTTCAATAAATAGTGTTGGGAAAACTGGACAGCCACACTCAAAATAATGAAACTTGACCACTATCTTTCACCATACACAAAAATTAACTGAAAATGGATTAAAGACTTGAATGTAAGATATGAAACCATAAAATTCCTAGAAGAAAACATAGGCAGTAAGCTCCTTGACATCTGTCTTGGTGGTGATTTTTTGGATCTGACTCCAAAAGCAAAAATAAACAAGTAGGACCACATCAAACTAAAGCTTCTGCACAGCAAAGGAAACCATCAACAAAATGAAAAGGCAACCTACCAAATGGGAGAAAATATTTGCAAATTATATATCTGATAAGGGGTTAATATCCAAAACACATAAAGAACTCATACAACTCAATATCAAAAAAACAATCTTATTTAAAAATAAGTAGAGGATATGAATGGCCGTTTTTCCAAAGAAGACATACAGACGGCCAACAGGCACATGAAAAGATGCTCAACAGCACTAATCATCAGAGAAAAGCAAATCAAAACCACAGTGAGAAATCAACTCACACCTGTTAGAATGGCTATTATCAAAAAGACAAGAAATAAGTGTTGGCGAGGATGTGGAGAAAAGGGAACCCTTTTGCACTGTTGGTGTAGCCACTATGGAAAACAGTATGGAGGTTCTTCAAAAAATTAAAAATTGAGGGCCGGCCCTGTGGCTTAGCGGTTAAGTGTGTGCGCTCTGCTGCTGGCGGCCTGGGGTTCGGATCCCAGGCGCGCACCAACGCACCGCTTCTCTGGCCATGCTGAGGCCGCGTTCCACATACAGCAACTAGAAGGATGTGCAGCTATGACATACAACTATCTAGTGGGACTTTGGGGGAAAATAAATAAATAAATAAAATTATTAGGGGCCGGCCCGGTGGCGCAAGCGGTTAAGTGCG